TCTGAAGCTACATGATGTCTGGGACATGAATCATTTTAGTCATTGTGAGAACTATGGGGATTTTATGTATAGCCTTCACCTACCTTGCTTGCATTAAAATGAGCATAGAATATTTGGAGTGGAAGAAGGATTAAAGTAAGCAAAGGTTGACAATAAAAGTATCGATAATAAATTTGGTAAAGAAAATGAATGGGAAATAGATCAAAGAAAAAGAAAATAAAGGAAAAACATGAGAAAAGGATCCCAAATGTTTGAATGCAAAAACATTCCAACCTTACACACTTCACAGCAAACAGAAAATCCTGTTGCCTTTACAATTTTTATAAAACACTGACATTTGAAGTATATGAAATTCACAGGGGAAATATCAGAGCTTTGCAAAATGAAAAATCTGCAGCTATATTAATTTGGAAACAAAAAATGGAAAACCCACAAAGCCATTTACATGAAAAATCTTCTGCTAGTATCACTATACGAATAATTTTTTCATGTGCCAGAATGAGTCTGACTTTAATTCCGTTGCTACTCTCTACTGTCCATCAAACTCCATTTGAATAAGCAAAATCGTAATCATTAATACCTGAAGGTGTTTGCTTCAGTTAAATAGTAATCACTCGTATAAAAATAATTTGTACCTTCCACACAGTGTCAAATTTACAGTATGTAAGGAGCTGTAAAATGTTGATGTCCATAAAGTGAAGAAAGTACAGCGATTTTCACCATATGAAAAACTATCTGTATAATTATCATTAATCAGAAATTGTATAGCAAATTCCTCATCCAGATATGTGTTAAATCCCATTTTGTGTAAAATACTTAATCCATTAAAACAGGGGTTTTCAGGTTTCTATCATCATTTGCACATTTTTGCTTTCTTGTGTTTGTAGGAATTAAGAATTGGTAGTTAGCAAAATGTAAACTGACCTTGAGGTTAGAAGAATGATTGTGGGTAACAGGCAACATTACGGCATTGTCCTACCTGACAAACCTGATCTCCTTATATGACAAGATGACCTGACTGTTGGACAAGGGAAAGGCTGTGGATATTGTCTACCTGAATTTTTGAAAAGCATTTGACACAGTTCCCCATAGGATTCTCACAGAAAAACTTGCTGCCCATGGCCTGGATGAGCAAAGTGTCTGCTGGAACAAGCACTGGATGGATGGACAGTCCCAGAGAGTGGTGGTCAACGGAGCTAAATCCAACTGGCGGCCAGTCACAAGTGGTGTTCCTCAGGCCTTGGTGTTGGACCATTTCTGTTTAACATCTTTATTGATTATCTTGATAAGGACATAGAGTAATAAGGACATAAGGACATCAGTAAGTTTGCAGATGACACCAAGTTAAGCGTGAGTATCGATCTGATGAGGATAGGGAGGCTCTACAGAGAGACTTGGATAGATTGGATCGGTGGGCCAGTGTTAACGGGATGAGCTTCAACAAGGCCAAGTGCCAGGTCCTGCACTTGGGCCACAAGAACCCCGTGCATGGCTGGAGGCTTGGGGAGGTGTGGCTGGAGAGCTGTCTGCAAGAGAAGGATCTGGGGGTCCTCATTGACAAACAGCTGAACATGAGCCAGCAGTGTGCCCAGGTGGCCAAGAAAGCCAACGGCATCGTGGCTTGTATGAGAAATAGTGTGACCAGCAGAAGTAGGGAGGTGATAGTCCCCCTGTACTCTGCACTGGTGAGGCCACACCTGGAGTACTGTGTCCAGTTTTGGGCACCTCATTATGAGAGAGATATTGAGAGATATTGCAAGATATCAAGATATCCAGCAAGACTCGCTGGAGCGAGTGCAAAGGAAGGCAACGCAGCTGGTGAAGGGCCTGGAGAATAAATCCTATGAGGACCGATTGAAGGAGCTGGGACTGTTTAGTTTGAGGAATAGAAGGCTGAGGGGAGACCTCATCAATCTCTACAGCTACCTGAAAGGACATTGTAGAGAGGCCGGTGCTGGTCTCTTCTCACAGGTAATAAGTGATAGAACAAGAGGGAATGGCTATTTAAACTGCAACAGGGGAGGTTTAGACTGGACATTAGGAAAAAAAAAATCACAGAAAGACTGGTCAGACAGTGGAATAGGCTGCTCAGGGAGGTGGTGGAGTCACCATCCCTGGATGTGTTTAAGGGTTGTTTAGAT